ATTTAAAAAAATCGGGAGGAGGAGCAAGGTTAAAATGTGGATAACTATGAGGCTGTGGCCCAGTTCTGATGAAGGGTGGTAAAGCAGTATGCTTTCCCATACATGTTCTTTTTATCCTTTCTCATAGAAAATTTTCATGTCACAAAGAAGGCAGGGTTAGGACCCTTTGATGCTAATTTTTATTGTGCAGGGAGAAATGTGTGTGTGAGAGAGAGCATTCAGTCACATGATCCTCTGGCACAGCCCAGGTACAGAATCACTACCTTAGTGAGGAACTAGAATTTAGCAAGTAATGAGTGACTAGTGCAGTTGGCTCTTTTTTTACCTGTTTACTTATTAAATGCAAGACCTGGCTCTGAATATTGATGACACCACTCACTGCTTTCCCAGCTAAAGCTTGATCCCCTCTTCTTGACACACAGCGCAAGAGCTCTCAAGGGTTGAATCACAGCCACTGGTGTGAAGAAGAAGGCAGGTTGAAACATGCTGAAGGGATGACCAGCCTCATATAAGCAGCATGCTTGAGCCTCATTAATGCATGAAGGGGTTAATTCCATAGAGTAGACTTGAATCTTGGCTTCCAGAATTCCAACACAATCATAGTGGCAATTGAGATATTGGTGGCTTCATGGGCCATGAAATAGCCTGTGTACCAGCCTCTGATAACTGTACTCACATATGTGTCTTTTTATTTATAAACTCACTTCTTTAATCATTCTATCTCTCTTTCCAAAGTCACAATTGGGTCCTGATGTTGGGGAAACTTGTACTCTTCTTCATGAAGCAAGACATCAGTTATGAAATATCTCAGAAAGAGGATGGTGGCAAGATAGTGCCTTCTTTCCACAGCCCTGCCCTGATTTTCATTTGGTAGAAGAGGTAGAAAACGTATTTTGAGCACACCATGTTCTTTCCTCTCCCAGACTTTCCACACTGGGACGTCTGTGGCTTTGAATCATCCCCGTTGACTGAAACATGTGATTTAAGCAACCAAAGCCTTGGCTTCCTGCTCTGTAAAACCGGCACACACTATCATAAGCGTTTTATTATCTGTAATTAATGTTTGTAAAGTACTTGGGAGCTGGAGGTGTGTTAGAAGTACAAAGCAGCATTATATCAGTCGGAAAGCCTGCTTGAATCCAAAGGCAATTCGTGTACCACTAATAAATCACTTGGAGGTTTATTTTTATGTTTCCACTCAAATTTCTGACATAAACCTTTTTATTTCATTGGGAACATGCGCTTAAATAAAAGCAAACCTCTACAGTTACTAATCTCCGATGCCATATTGCGCGAACGTTTTGTTGAAATGCCATCACCTTTTCAAAGAACCAGAGCTGTGTGTTTTCAAGACATTTATGGTTGAAGAATAAATTTTCAGAGACTGTAAATGAAAAGATATCGCTGAACATGATGATCAAATAATATCTGACACTGCTTGTTTAAGGAAATATACATATATCTTACTGCCGGAGCATTTATGACGCCAATAAATCTCATTACTTTTGCCTAGTGATAGAATTCTTACTGACTCCACCAAATATCAGATTGGCTTGAAATTGTGCCGTTTTCTGCATACTGGAGCAAAATCATTTTATTATTTAAGCCAGGTGGTGCAAGACGAAAATATAATGCAGCTAAATATAGGGGTTGGGGTTTTTTTTAATATAAAAAACTATTGTACTGTGTTCATGAAGCATCACATTATGCTGACACTTAGTGACGGAAATGCATCCAAAATACAGCGTCATATTCCCCAAATATCAATATATTCATTGTTGAAGCTGTTTCAGATAAATGTACAAACGATGTGTCTGGTTGCACTTTCATAATAGTAAGTTTGTGCAGTTTTCCACTGGTTAGCTGTCGAAAAATGCTTGAAGCGTTTCTTTGAAGCCTTCCCACCCACCCCCTGCACACATAACAGTATTTAAAAACCTCTTCTGCTCTTCCTCTCCCATCATCTCCTCAGCCAGCCTGCTGCACATGGAGCAGAACTTAGTACGAGAGGCTGGTGTCCTTCAGAATTTCTCCCAGCCAATGCAGTTTCCAAAAGAGGGCAGGGGGAAGGATCTAATTGGCTCACACACATGGGGGCGTGGCCAACTGGGTAGAACTTGCTCTATGGACCGACACCATCTTCCCAGTGGAGCAGCAGTTCCATGGGAGGAGATATAGCTCTGTTGGTTAGAGCGTGGTGCTGTTAACACAAAGGTTGCAGGTTCAATCCCCAGTGGTGTCCAACTTTTCTGAAAGAGGGCCAGATTTGATGAAGTGAAGGGCCGTGGGGGCTGACCAAAGTTGTTGACCTTTTTTTAGCATTGAGGATTTTACCTCAGGAAATAAACCGACTGGTGGGCTGGATTAGGCCCCCAAAACAGACTTTGGACATGCTTGCACGGGATAAGCTGCATATTCCTGCATTGCAGAGGGTTGGACAAAATGACTGTTAGGGCCTCTTCCAACTCTACAATTCTATGATTTGTCTAACTTTGATGCAAGGCGGTTGCCATAAGGAATCTGCTTGTGAGTAAATGACTCCCAAGGAGCTGGGGGAATGTTTAATGCATGTGTGCAAGGGAGGGAAAGTGCAAGATGGGAGTCATTTCACACAATGAAAAAGTATTGTGGACACCAAAGGGGGAACGTGGATTTTGGCAGCGAGGAAGCTCGTGCAACTGTATGAGCTACTGTGCCATGCTGGGTGGCAACTTAACTGCCCCCTCCTGAGAAGTGATATGAGAGCCATCTTCAGAAATCTGAAGTGGTGTCACATAGTTGATGGAGCAAGCTTTTTTTCTTCATAAAGTGCCACCATCCGGGATTTTAGGAGCAGGTGTTGTTGTTGTTTAGTCGTGTCCGACTCTTCGTGACCCCCTGGACCAGAACACGCCAGGCACTCCTGTCTTCCACTGCCTCCCACAGTTTGGTCAAACTCATGCTGGTAGCTTCGAGAACACTGTCCCACCATCTCGTCCTCTGCCGTCCCCTTCTCCTTGTGCCCTCCATCTTTCCCAACATCAGGGTCTTTTCCAGGGAGTCTTCTCTTCTCATGAGGTTGCCAAAGTCTTGGAGCCTCAGCTTCAGGATGTGTCCTTCCAGTGAGCACTCAGGGCTGATTTCCTTCAGAATGGATCGGTTTGATCTTCTTGCAGTCCATGGGACTCTCAAGAGTCTCCTCCAGCACCATAATTCAAAAGCATCAATTCTTCGGTGATCAGCCTTCTTTATTGTCCATCTCTCACTTCCATACATCACTACTGGGAAAAACATAGCTTTAACTATACGGACCTTTGTTGGCAAGGTGATGTCTCTGCAGGTATCCTGTTCTAAATCAGAGGCTTGTGCTAGAAAATTCACAACTTGGTCCCTTTCAAAACCACAGTGCTAACTGCAGTAGCAGCTGCTGTATTCAATATATGGTCAAGTTTCATTCTGAGGGAGATCCATTTTGGAGCCAGAGCATCTTGGCAGTTTCCCTTTAAAAATATTTCCTTAGAAATAAGCAGGGAGGAAATTGGCTGGGTGAGCTCCATCGCCTGCAGCCAGATGCTGTCTGATGGTACCTCAACAGGCCAGGACAAACTGTATTATCGGGGGATTAACCACTAAATAGCCGAAAGGAGAGGTCTCTCCATCAGATAAGGTCGTTTGAGCGGAGCGCGTTTGCTTTCTTGCATATAGAGCCCTGATGTCAAATAGACTGATTTCCAATGCCTGGTCTTTTAAATAATCTTTGCTGCATTTGCTGCTCTTGTAATCTGCCAAATCATTTAATTTTCCCGATAGCTGAAATGCTGTAAAACTTAGATAAACTTACAGCAGAAATTAACTCCAAGTTGGCTTGCAGCTGAAACACAGGCATGGTGTGTTAGCTTGGCCTGCGCGTGACTTTTTCTCTTCTCTCTTCCCCCGCAAACTAATCCTCGGTTTGAAAGGATGCATCCAGACTACTATTTGTGCTTGACGGAATTGCATGAGGAGATGATGCAGCCTTTGCCGTATTCTGTGACTGCCACTGGTGGAAGTTGCAGCAGGTGGGCAAAGGCTGGAGAAGAAGTCATTTCTGGGGTTTCCCATGCAAAGGTGAATCCTTAAGAGATGCAAGCGTGTTCAGAGCCATTGCTATGCCTCTCCCTAGCCTTCTACTGCCCATTTCTGTTGCCAGTTTCAGTGGATCTTTGCACTTCTCTGCAGCCTGAAAGTGTTACGCGTCGGGGTAACCGCTTTCCATTGGGGCAGCGATATCTGAGACCACTGACAAACTTCTGTCCACCTCTGTGCTTGTTCTTAGAATCATAGAATCATTGTAGAGTCGGACGAGATCCCAAAGATCATCTCTTGCTACTCCCTGTAGCAAGAGATGCAGGAATCGCAGCAAAAAAATCCCTGGCCACCCAAGCTCTGTTTAAAAACCTCCAAGGAGGGAGATTCCACCACCTTCCAAGGGAGTCACCTTCCAAGGGAGTCCATTCCACTATCAGACATGTTTTATCATCAGAAAGTCCTTCCTAATGCTTAGTGGGAATCTCCTTTCTTGTGACTTGAATCCATTGGTTCAGGCCCTAGTCTATGGAGAAGGAGAAAACAAGCTTGCTGCATCTTCCACCTGACAGCCTATTAGATATTTGAAGATGGCTCTCATCTCAGTCTTCTGTTCTCCATGCTAAGTATCCCCAACTCCCTCAGCCATTCCTTGGTTTCCAGACCCTTGATCCTCTTGGTCACCCTCCTCTGCACACATTACAGTCTTGTCAGTATCCTTCCTTTATTGTGGCATCCAGAACTGTATTCTAGGTGTGGTCTGACCAAGGCCGAATGGAGTGGGACTATTACTTCCCTTGATCTGGACACTAGACTTCTGTTGATGCAGCCTGGAATTGCATTAGCTGTTTCTTGCCAATGTATCACACTTTTGACTCACGCTAAACCTCTGGTCTACTAAGACCGCTAGAACATTGTGTGTTTAATAGAGTCTCTCTTGTCCTCTCTCCTTCCAGGTACGAGTCCTCTCTCTTTGACCTGGTGGAAGCAATGAGCCCAGGGCTTCAGCATCACTACAGCGAAAGCCGCAACCAGAGCCAAGGGTTTGTGCCTCAAAGCAGGAGGTGGAGGAAGCCTGGATGGAACCAGAGCCCAACTTGTGCCATGAATGGGACCATGGCTGAGCTAGAGGAGAGCCGCATTCTGGAGGAGATCTTTTTCATTTAAGGGGCCCAGCGGTTTTAGCCTTTCCTTCCGGGTGGACCCAAGGACCTGTCTTCCCTTTCTAACATGGGCATGTTTACACATCGGGATATTGCTTTTAAATTATTTGATTGACGAATGATTGTCTCCTTAACTCCCCCCACCCCTTAGAAAAAACTTAACACGATAGTTCCCCTGTCCCAATGTCCGAATCATGTCTAAAAAGCATCCTTTCAAGCAGACTGACCGAAGTGTAAGCAGGACATTTCTGGGCTCTTTCTCTGCACGGTTACAAGGTAATAATTTTTAAAGGAAAAGAAATTCATGCCATTGTGGAAGGGATTAGTATTTCATTATTGATTAATTTTTTTAGCTGTGAAAACCAGTTTCCCAGAGCTTCATTGCTTGCTCATACACAAAAGCACATTCCAACTTTTATCATTTTTTCCAAGTAGCCTGTTAAAATTGAGGGTGCTACCTATATATTTAGCTAATGAATTTCCAGCACCGTCTGTCAGATTCTGTGTTGTGCCATTTAACGGGGGTAGGGGTTGAAGATGGGTAACCGGCAGCCTTCTCTTAACACTAATGGACATTTCTCAGTTAATGAATCTCTTACGAAATAAGCCTCTCTCTCCGTTTTTCTTTAAGGGTGTATTGGACATAGAATATCTACTGAGAGAGCATGCCCCTTACAGCTAAGCTGTGTGAACAAAATCAGGCATTTTGACAGCCTAACCTGCTATTTTTCCCCCACTCCTCCATGCTGAAAAGTGCTACAGGGTGAGACCAGCTCATGGAGTGTTATCTCTGAGGTCACCCCACCCCCCGTTTTTTTCTAGTTTTAACCCCCCTACCCATTCCTGGGTGTTGTAAATAAAGACAAATCAGTAATTCATCCCATTTGCCACATGTGACGTGCATTCTGGCTCTAATAATTTGTGCCATATCTTACTGCATTTTGTTTTTAAAATATGCTACCCCCCCTGGAAAAGCTGCACGTTCAGTTATTTAAAGAAATGTGCGGGATTAGTTGAAACGGCTGCGGATTGCAGGAATCAACAATCACATGCGGCGTTCGTATTTTAGCAGAACAGAAGCCACAGGCATGAATTCATGGAAGCCCGACTCTGAAACTCCCCTTTCTGCAGCTCAAAGGTGGAGCAAGAGGGAAATGTGCACCTCCTTCTTGCATGTGTTGAAGAGGGAGACGGACAGCTTTAGGCAGGGCGGACGTCAGTTCTGACATGCTCCTTCTTTCCCTTCTTCCCCCGGCCTTTGCCTTCCTCTGTGCTTATGTCCTCGAGGTGGGCTGGGAAGCTGCTGTTTTTCCCCCAAGTTTGCAGGAGGGTCCCTTATCCATTGCCTTAATTCTGCAAGCGGAGGGACGTCTCAGCACCCCATATCAGATCACAAGGTGACATTCCCCATGGGGATTAGCACAGCTTCTAGGTTTTTTGGTGTGCTGCTTTTAGCAAAGTTGAAGGGAGCCTGAAGTTCTTCCACTGACCCAAGGATCAGGTATGCACTATAGGAAGAAATGAACAGGTCCAGTAGGAAACACTGAACTCTTTAAAAATGCTGCAGATTTAGGGCTTCCTCCAGTGTCGCAGTAATGCGTGGATCGTTTGATTCCTTGAACGCTGGTCTTTAGCGTTCAGGAACGGGGCACCTTATGGACTTTTTGCTGCTGTTTCTGCCCCATCATCACGGCCTCTAGTTTCACTAGGCAAGATGGTCTTTAGGGCTGCATATCGCTGCCCTCCAGCTCAGATCATGACCTTTTTATTATATTTCTGTCATCTGAGCACAGCGATTCATATTAACATAGGAGCTACCCAAAAACAGGAGAATGAATGCAACATAAAATAACAGGATTTCTTCCTAAGCTCTCTCTCCCCCCTCTCCTTTTTAGACAGTCCCTCTTCAGGAATGAATCCAATAGTTTTCCCTTTTAGTTTCTAGCCTTCTCTTGTTTGCCTGGTTGCCCCTCTGCTCGCCCTTTTAAGATACCACTAGCAACCTTAAGCGGTGCCTTCAGATTTGCATTCCAGAGCTCTCTGTCAGAGTGATTTTTTTGTCTCCAGTTCTTAGCCAGTGCCAATATTTAACCTCTTTTAATATTGAATCTAGGATTTTCGATAAAGCTCTTGATAAACAGGTCGGATTAATGCTGTTGATTTTTGTGTCAAATTGTACCTTGGTCATCAATGTCTTTTGAAAGGACCATTGTCAAGGGTTCAACTTCAAACTCTTATCCATAATGGCTAAAATTCATCCATAGGAAAAAAAAACCTGTCTCTGAGGCACTTTATAAAAAAATATTTTAAAAAAAGGAATAGGAGGGTCCAAGAGGGTTGGTTGCACAGTTGGGCCAAGCGCTCCAAATTGTTGAAAAGTTCAGTTAAGGTGGCTGCCATTTTAGTGTACAGATGGCAGCTCGTGGGATTCAGTGGAGACGCTGCATCAATGCTTGCCTTTGTGCACATGTGAGCAGCATCAACCGGGAACGTTGTACATTGTCCAATCAATCTGCATAGCCTGCATAAGTGAGGATACCCACCAAGATGTCAGTTGGTGAATGTGGCTAAGCAAGGAAAAATGCATGAAGGCTGGGCAAGGTGAGATGTTTTGTCTGCACATTTCCCAGCATAATTTGGAGACTCTGCACATTGACAGCGCAATAAGGAAAATGCCCCATTCAGGCGCCGTAGTGTCTGCACGTTCACTACGCTGACTGCTTCACATCCTCTGCTCAACTTGCAATCCTTTCTGGAAGCCAAAGGCATTTTGTCACAAGACTTTATAAAGCCGAAATTATTAAAAATATTTACAGCTTCAGAGGAAAAGCTGGAGGGGGGAGATCAGTGGCTGTCAAAGACCAAAATCAGTGGTTGTGGGTGGAAACTGTTTTTTTCTGTCTGCTCAAGCAATAGAAGAGAATCAAAACTTAAACTAGCCCAGGATGTATCATAGTGCTGCATAGCTGTCAACTTTTCCCTTTTCTTGCGAGGAATCCTATTCGGAATAAGGGAATTTCCCTTAAAAAAAGGGAAACGTTGACAGCTATGTGCTGTCCCTGTGCAGTTTAGTTCCTGTAGCTGAAAGCACCAACCAGAGACAGCAAAGTGCAAGGGGAAGGACTCTGTCCAAGATTTACTCCACGTAAACCTTGCTGGGTGGAATCGGAATGGTCCTGGAGCAGCTGTTCTTGCGCTGTCCGGCTCTTCATGCGTTGAGTCTTGCTTCTGCCACAATGGCCTGTTGTTGTTGTTGTTGTCTTTGTCTCCCCCCCAACACACATGTGCACTTTGTAAGAAACGGATCTGTAAAAACAATCACCCCCCCCACCCTCCAAAATACTTCTTGGGTTATGTTTGGTAAGTACTACCTGAAACTTGATTGGATCTTTAAAAATAAACACATGCAATGTTTTAATTTAATAAATTATCAAGGTGGATTTCCCCCTTTCTTATCTGTCTCGTTTCTTTATTTCTCGCCTCGTTTTGTGAGTTGGCATGTCGTGCGGAATTTCTGGATGTTTCTGCCCCTCCCTTTGTGTTGAAGCACACACGTCCAGGCAGAGGGAAGTTGGCAGGTACTCTGGACTGGTTTTTTAAAAAAGAAAGAAAATGTTTCATCTTCTTTGTTGGGTCCCCAACTGACAAACACACCAAACAACGCGCTGGGCCGAGCAACGTTGGAAATGCCGGAGGCAAAAGTTGCTTTTCTTGAGATGCAAGCATTCAAAGACCATCTCAGTTTTGTGTGTTATATCTGTCCAGGCAGCAGATGATAGCCTGATAAAGTTAAGGGTCCTTCAAAGCGAAAGAGCAGGAGGGTGTAAGCGGATGGGGGAAGCTGCCTAAATGGGATTGCAAAGCAGCCGGCTTTCTCGAGTGACAGGACAAGAAAACGCCAGAGGCAATGTTGTGAATTAGAGCCGGTTCACAAATGCACCCTCATCATTATTGGCGATAGCTATGATTCTAGGAATTCTTCCAAGGATTGAGCCATCAGGAGACCCTTGTGGGGCAAAGATACCCTTGGGAGATATCCTTTGGGAGGTGGTTTGGTCCTCTCCGGGACTCGGGTGGCACTGTTGCCAATCAGAAGGTCGGCGGTTCAAATCCCCTCGACGGGGTGAGCTCCCATTGCTCGGGCCCTGCTCCTGCCAACCCAGCAGTTCAAAAGCACATCAAGTGCAAGTAGATAAATAGGTACCGCTCCAGCGGGAAGGTAAACGGCGTTTCTGTGCACTGCTCTGGTTCGCCAGAAGCGGCTTAGTCATGCTGGCCACATGACCCGGAAGCTGTATGCCGGCTTCCTCGGCCAGTAAAGCGAGATGAGTGTCGCAACCCCAGAGTGGGCCACGACTGGACCTAACGGTCAGGGGTCCCTTTACCTTTACCTTGGTCTTCTCCAGCTGCTGATGAGAGTCCTGTTTATGCAGTCTTTTATGGGACTAGCCTTGGTATTTATAATAGTGACCCTGATGCTTCCAGCACCTGCCATGTCTCCTTTGAGGTAATGGTCATCGTCATGGATCATCCTGGTTCCTGCGGGCACACATAGAATCATAGAATTGTAGAGTTGGAAGGGACACCAGGAGTCATCTAGTAAACCCCCCGTAATGCAGGAATCTCAGCTAAAGCATCCATGACAGATGGCCGTCCAACCTCTGCTTAGAAACCTCCAAGGAAGGAGAGTCCACAACCTCTCAAGGGCGACCACTGCACTATCAAACATGCAGAGACAGATGTCCTTCTTGGTGCCCACAGGGTCTTCTCCTGATGCTGAAATTTGACTTGGAAGAAGCATTCTGTTGTTAATAGAATGGGAGGTTTTTAAGCAGAGGTTGAGTGGTCATCTGCAGTGCAGTGACCATTGGGAATCCCTTCTAACTCTCCAATTCTGTGTCTCATGAGAGATTGTGCCACATTTAATGTGGCAGCTAGTTTTGCCCAGGGAGGGAGGGACATCTCCTCCCCCCTCCTTCCCCCCGATCGCTGGGACGCACGTCTGAGCCGCCTGCTGAGGGTGCAGTAAACTTACCCGGAGCTATATTGATTTAAGACTGTTCACTTTTGTATATATAACTTTGGAAAATGGTAAACTATATTAATTTGCTGTGTTTTTCCAAAGGAAAATTATTTATCGGGAGGCCTTCTTAGCTCGAGTGCTCGGGGCCTTAAATCATCATAATAAATTTGCGCTATTCAGGCTTTCTTACATTGTAATAAATTTGTTTTAAACATGAATGAGAAGATCCATGATTTCTTTAATATACTGTTATGTATTTCCTTTCAAAATGACATGGCTCACTACATCAAGCCAGAGAAATAATAGCGGGAGATTTACAGTACTTAAAAATAACTTTGCCTGGGATTGTGACATGTTAACCAACTCCCCAGACGGGGCTTTGGGGAGCTTCTCCTTTCCACATGCCTTCTGCAGTCTTAAACTTTGAGCAGCATGCCGGGGGGTGGGGGGGGCTCCACTTGGTGAGGCTGGATGTCTGCTGCACTGTTGGTATTCCCAAAATATTCCCGGGCCTGCCTTTCCATTGCCGTTCGCAGCACTCTAAGCCGCCTGAAGCTCTCTCAAAAAGATTTTCCCTTGCTGCTTATTTTGCCTGGAACTCCAACACGACCCTTCTCAAACATCTGATCTTTATTCCTTTCTTCCAGGGATGCATACCCCCATTCTTCATTTGCCATTCCCAGGGTGGCTTACAAAAACACGCGGGGTGTGTGTGTGTGTGAATTTTTAAAATTGCAAAAAGCGGTAAAGTCATGCAAAACCCACACACTCGACCCAAAATACAGTAGATCATTGCATTAAAGGCCTGTGTTGTTTTCCAGTGCTTTTTCCTGGAACTGAAGTGACAACATGCCAGGCGAGCCTCCCAGGATACAGCATTTCAGAGCTGGGGTGCCACCACTGAGAAGGCCCTTTCCCCAGTTGCGACCTGCTGTGCTTCAAGATCAGGGATTAGACACATTCATGGAAGAGAGGGCAATTGATGGATTCTAGCCAGAATGGCTATGCTCACTGTTATATGCTGATGTGGTTGCTCGAGAGCAAAGAGGCAAGACTCCAACCTGTCTTTTCCAGGCTTTATTAACTTTACAAAGCTATTTACAGTGCAGAGCGTCGCAAGTCCATGTCTGCTCAGTCGCTGGCAGAATCTGGGAGTGGGCAGACCTTATACCTTCCCCAGCATAACAGTCGTGTGACCCCCCATCCTTCTCTTCCCCTCTCTGCGCGCAAACCTACTGCACAGAGTGGGTGTTGGCAAAGGGGGACTTTCCTCCCCTCCGCTTTGCTCTGGCTCGGTGTTGGGGCTCTCCCTAGCATCTTCTGATCCCTGCGCCCCTTCCCCACTGGAGACGGGGCTTCCCTCCTCGCCAGAAAAAGAACTGCTTTGCAAGATCTTTGGGGGCTCCCTGTAGCACAACTGCCCTTCCACCTCTCGCCTTGGAGCTGATGGCAGTTCCCTGACTCTCTTACTTCCACAGTCGGAGGCTGAAATGGTTCCGAATGCCAGTTGCTGGAAACCACAGGTGCTCAAATCCTGCAATCAGGTTTGCCACAGGGATCCAGCAGGATCCTCTTATGTTCTTATCAAGGTCTTCGCATATGGAAAGGCACTGGTGGAGACAGGCGGTACCCTGGAATCCAGCAATGGACCAGGAAATCAGTGCATCTGGCGAACGCTGGCCTGATCTGATCATGATCCCTGTTCCCAGTCCCCAATTGAGTGCAAATCTTTGCACAAAACCTAACTTTCTGCGAATGCTTCCGCACAACCCCAGCACAGCAGTCTTGAGCACGTGCAACTCCCACCTGATCACATTGATCCATTTCCCCTCTTGTCTCTGTGCACAACTAGGTTTCCCTAATCACAGAGAAATCCCACATGTTCTCAGCAGGTATCTCCTCTTCAGACAAGCACCTAAGATGTGGATTGCATAGGGTGGGAGGACAGGACTATCGGGGAACTTGATGATGTACCATTGAGCACAGCTCCACACTGTCTAAATTGCATGGAGAAAACAAAGCAGAAATTGGGGTTCAGTAGCTTGGAGAATGCCGCGCACGTTTGATCTGGACCTCAAATAAATTTTATTACTATTATTGTTTTGGCCTTGACAGGTACAATGCGATCCTCTGTGTCTCAAGGCCTCACTTCGCACGCCATCCGCTAAGCTGTCATGATGAAAACCTGACAGCCAGAAACACCTGATTGACCTTTAAGTCATAAACCCCTCATGCTTAAACAGAACATATTTATCTGCAGGGCGGTGTGAAGGTTGCGGTCGGTGGTGGGCTGGGCTGACGTCTGGGGAGGTTTTGAGCTCCCATTCCGGAGCTTACAGGATCCGGTTTTGGAGCGTATCCATGAAAAAGGAGGGGTAGGGTTGACCTATTTCAAAGAGTGAAAATCCGGACACAAAAGTTGTTGAGGGTTTGTTTGTTTGCAAGATCTCAAGATGGCAGCAGATATGGGCTGCCATTTGCTTGGATGCCACTTTTTGACGGACGTATCGCATATTGCAGCCCTACACAGGAGTGGATCTGAATCCCTGCAATTAACTTGGAGCCAAAACCCTACTCAGTCTGGATTCCTGTTCCCCATAGTGGCCAAGCCAGTGCATCTGGGTGGTCTACAAACAGCAGGGCAGCAATGGACCCCGCTACTTGCGTTCCCAAGCAACCAGAGCTCCCTCCGTTGTCTCTGCTGCCCCAAACCAGCTCCATCAGATCTCTTCCGTTTGTTACCTTTGGGCAGCCATTCCATCAGGGAAAGAGAGAGGAAGCAGGAAGTCCGTTCCATCACCTTTGCAGGAGGACCAACTCCACCAGGCACCTCCTGCCCCAAAGCTGTGCCATGGGAACAACTGTTTAGAGACTGGTGCCTGTGTTTCTGCAGAACCGACACATTTGCAAGTAACACATAATTCTCGTTCTGTGCTTGCGAGGAATAAGTCCTTCTGGGTGTTGGTTTCTGCACTTTGGAACTCCCTGTCCATTGGCATTAGGCAGACACCTCTGCCGTGTTTTCAGCCCCTGCTAAAAACTTTCTGTTTAAGTAACATTTCACAGGGGATTTCAGATTTTTTTCCCCAAAACAGCTGATTTTATTTTTAGCCTAACTTTATTTTAATGGCTGGGGTTGTTTTTTTGTAGTTTTGTATTCTGTGTAGACCACTGCAGAAGTTCTCAACCTGTGGGTCCCCAGATGTTGTTGGACTACAACTCCCATCACCCCTGAGCTCTGGCCTTGCTAGCTAGGGGTGATGGGAGTTGTAGTTCAGAAACATCTGGGGACCCACAGGTTGAGAAAGGCTGGCTTAGAGGCATTGATGATTAGGCAGTACCACACCCTCCAACATTTCTCCGATGAAAATGGGGACGCCCCCCATTCATAAAGACAATTTTACTATTTATACCCCACACATCTTACTGGGTTGCCCCAGCCACTCTGGGCAGCTTCCAACACAATAAAACATTAAACATTTTTTTTAAAAAAAAATCTTCCCTGTACAGGATTGCCTTCAGGTGGCTTCGGAGGTCAGATAACTCCATACCCTCCAACATTTCTCCAATGAAAACAGGGACAGCCTAAGGGAAAGTGGGACATTCTGTGATCAAATCAGAAATCGGGACGGCTTCTCTAAATCAAGGGTGTTCTTGGAAAATAGGGACACTTGGAGGGTTTGCAGTAGATGAATGCTATTAAATAAAACTATATAAATGTTCAGATCCGCCTTCGTACGAAAATAAAGGTGCCCCTGAGATTTGACATTGTATGAGTCTTCTGTATCAGGAGGTTGGAATCTACCCTGCTCTGAAAGGTAGGTCTCGAACCAATGGCTCAAGTTAAAAGAAAGGAGATTCCGACTAAACATCAGGAAGAACTTTCTGACAGTAAGAACTGTTCAAGAGCGGAATAGTCTCCCTCGGGAGGTGGTGGACTCTGCTCCTTCCTTGTGGGTTTTTTGTGGGATGTGAAACACAAGAGCAGTCAAGTAGAACATTCCTAGAGTGACCATGTTTACACATGGGGAGGAATGTTTGTCCAGCCAGCAGGTAAACTTCCTGTTTCCTTCTGGGCTGGGACAGACTTCCTCTGCATGTGACTAGAGGTGGGTGTGGCCTCACCTGTGCAGGTAACAACAAAAGCACAGGGCAGGGCAGCCATCTCTCTCTCCTTGACTACATGCATCGAAGAAGCAACATCTGCTTAGCCAAAAGATGCTCTCTTGGCCTCCAGCCCAAGAGAGGACAAAGGGACTGTCTCCTTATGAGATAGTTTCCAGGTGTATGTTACTTTTCTAAATTAAGTCTGCCTTCTGCGATCCGATTGTGAACAGAATGTGAGTAAACTTTTTTTATACTTTTATGGAAGACGGTGTCGTGTCTTATTTTTTTATGAGGGAATAAGGGGGAAATACCAGAACAGTTATTATAGAGGCTTTAGTGAGCCTGAGCAAACGAGTCCGCTGTGAGTTTAAAAAGGGGAATGTTACTCTGCTAAATTGTGAACTTGTTAACACTTGTTTTCCAACTTGTTGTTGGAAAAGCTATAATCAAACAATATATCCTCTCCTGCATCCCTGAACATTCCCACATTTTTAAGCAGAGATTGGGTGGCCATCTGTCATGGATGCTATAGCTGAGATCTCTGCATTGCAGGGGGTTAGACTAGATGAAATTTGGGGTCCCTTCCAAATCTGAGATCCTATGAAAATTGTGGTTCCAGCCCACTGAGAATGTACCATCATGTGACTCCTTGATCCCAAGGGAAAGTGTACAGCCTCATACTTGGGGCTCCGTTCCCTCTGATGGGGCTTACAAGAGACAACATTCCCAGGTAAACACGGCTTGCAATTGCCCAGCCCTGCCTGCAAAAGACAGGTGCTTGTTCCACATGCCACTTTCTAGGACGGGGGCTTGCTGACGCTCTCCCCGACGACTGGCAGAAAGTTTGGGGAAGTCATCCAACCCTTCTCCGGAGCCATGCTCCTGCGCTTGCTGGTCTGGAAAATTGAAATACGTGGGTTGTGTAGGATTTAGAGTCAGGTATTAACTTGAGGAGAAGAGATTTGACTCCCAGAGAGCAGCGGCTGCATCCAAAAGCGATTCATGTGGACACGCTCAGAGCTTGGCACGGCGAAGGGGAAGCTGTTTGGAGAGCGCTGCGGCCGGCCTGCTATCGACAAGCCCAGGGAAAACCTCCAGCAGCGGTTCAGCAAGAATCTCCTTAGCAACTTGCCGTGCCGTTGGCAGAATCTTCTGGGCAGCCGGGGCAGAGAACGTCCTGCGGAGCAGAGCGGATGCGAGAGAGCCAGCCTTGCGTGGTGCTTGGTGGTAGAGCGCAGGCTTTGCATGCAAACAGGCCGAGGTTCAACAGGCGAGGGAAAAGCTCCTCCTGCCTGAACCCCCGGAGGGACTGATGCTCGAAGCCGTGTCGAGCCTGAGTGAGATGGAGCAGGGGTCTTGGCCCCACTGCGCTCCTCGCAAGAGCCCCGCCATAGTTTAAAAGTTCACCCACCGTCTCCCACTGAGATCCTCAGCCTGAGCGAAGCGGCGAAAGGTCATGCAGAGGTAGCTCCGTGCAGCTTGTCAAGGGTTGCATAAAACCACCCCGGTTCTGTCAGCTATATTTGGAAAGCATTTCCCCGCCGCCATCACCACCCCTCGCTGTCTGGTGTGCTCTGGCTAGGTGGGCAAATAAACCCCCCTTCTCCTTCCCCCCCCTTCCAGCAGAGGCTATGTGTGGAAAATAACCAAGCGCGGACCCGGTCGATGCGTGTGACACATCCGCTGCAAATAAAATGGAAGATGGAGGACTTTAATAATAGGAAGAAGTTGCTAACAAAGTTTGCCGCTGCCTGTAAAGATTCGGCTGGAATTATTCAAAACGAAACATTTATTTAATTAAGCAAGTCCTTATTAACCACCTCTGGTCTGTGCCCTTCCTGGACTTTCGCTCCCTCTCTTGCTGCTGTGGCGCTGAGTCCGCTGTCCGTTTGGTCCGTATTTCCCCTCCGTTATCTGTGAGCCATTCCTCTGGTCAGCTCTTCTAACTCTCTTGCTGATGCACTGAACTCAAAGCAGCACACATGCATCTCCCCATGCGCAAACACACCAAGGCTGTTGTATCCTCACAAGTGGCTTGTGGGGTAGGCCCTGCCGAGAGACGGCAACTCGCTCAGGGTCACCCAGGAAGCTTTGCGCATAAACCAGGATTCGAATCTGGGTCTTATCAGTCCAGCACTGCAGGGGGACGGAGCCAGCAACTGTTGTCTCCTATTTATTGAATTTTCATATTGTTTTGTATTTTAATTGCACAGACAACACTTTCTCTGAAAGGCAGCATGCACACATTTAATTATCTAACAGGTTTAGGGTCATGTTCTTGCAGATTCTTTCCGTGTATGTGAGAGTCTGAAACTCTATATTTCTTTTAAAAACAACAACAACAAAGAAACCCCCAAATTTTGCACTATGTTACCTCTGGGTACCTATTCTCAAAATGGCATTGCTTTCAGTCAAGTCTCTGGGATTGCCATTTTGGTTTAAAAGACACCCAACCCCTCTTTCCACCATTTGTTATGACATTTCCACACCACCTTTTCCTCCGAGGAGGCTCAGTGTGGTCTATGTGGTTCTCTTCCTCTCCATTTCATCCTCACTACAACCTTGTGGGGATGCGGGTGGCGCTGTGGGTTAAACCACAGAGCCTAGGACTTGCCGATCAGAAGGTCAGCATTTCGAATCCCCGTGACAGGGTGAGCTCCCGTTGTTCGGTCCCTGCTCCTGCCAACCTAGCAGTTCAAAAGCACGTCAAAGTGCAAGTAGATAAATAGGTACCGCACCGGCGGGAAGGTAAACGGCATTTCCATGCGCTGCTCTGGTTCGCCAGAAGTGGCTTAGTCATGCTGGCCACATGACCCGGAAGCTGTACGCCGGTTCCCTCAGCGAATAAAGTGAGATGAGCGCCGCAACCCCAGAGTCGGTCACGACTGGACCTAATGGTCAGGGGTCCCTTTACCCTTTACCTTACAACCTTGTGAGGTAGGTATGGCGGAGAGAGAAGCAGTGGTTGGCCCAAGTTCACCCAGCCAGCTTCATGGCTGAGTGGGGTTTCAAACCCTGATCTCCCAGGTCAGACAAACCACTAACCACTGAACCACCCTGCCTCCCTCTTGGCCAGAGCACCTTTGGCTTAGCATTTTGTTCATCAGCACCTCCAGCTATTCCAAGAGCTTCTGTGAGTTTCCCTGAGCTGTGGGGCTTCTCTGCGGCACATGTTTACTTTTGCTGCCCCCGCCTGCTCAGGTCTCTCTTATTTAATTATTGAGTACCCAGCCCGGTGAAGAAAGCCATTTTAATTTTAGTTATCGTTTTCTTAATTGCAAACCAGGTTCCCGCAACGGCCCCCGGGATTTTTGCAAGTGACTTCCCAGCAATTCTCTAGTTGCTGATTTGACCATTCTGTAGCTGGAGACGCATTGCTAACCTGGAAGGATCAGATGGTGAGAATGCATGATGTCACATCAGAGGCTGCCTCCGGTTTAGCCAGCACAGGAAGAAACCAACCCGAGTCACAAAATCCACAATACCTGCACAGGAAACAAGATGCCTCTTCCATTCCTTTTGCTGTACTTCAAACACAGCCTCCTGTGGTCAACTCCCACAGTGCAGAGTTAAACTGTGGAACTCACTGCCATGGGAAGCAGTGATGCCGCCCCCGCAACTTAGATTGGTCTGATGTAGAATTTTGATATTTGATTAGACATTAGATATAAATTTTGCTTTTGTGTTTCAGTATGAATTGCATTTAGCCTTGGGATAGAACACCATAAATGACCCCTGTGTGCCTGCATTTTGCAACCCACATGCTTTCCTGTGCAATCTTAGGTAAAGGGACCCCTGACCGTTAGGTCCAGCCATGGCCAACACTGGGGTTGCGGCGCTCATCTCGCTTTACTGGCCAAGGGAGCCGGCGTACAGCTTCCAGGTCATGTGGCCAGCATGACTAAGCCGCTTCTGGCGAACCAGAGCAGCGCACGGAAACGCCATTTACCTTCCCGCCAGAGTGGTACCTATTTATCTACTTGCACTTTGACATGCTTTCAAACTCCTAGGTTGGCAGCAGCGGGGACCGAGCAACGGGACCTCACCCCGTCGTGGGGATTCGAACTGCTGACCTTCTGATTGGCAAGTCCTAGGCTCTGTGGTTTAACCCACAGCGCTACCCACGTCCCATTTGTGCAGTCTTATCTGACCCTAGAAGTGGCACAGATGGCCATCCAGGAAGTTCTGCTATGTCTGTTTTGAGCTAACGCCGGGGTTTAAACCTGGCCTCTCCTTGGAGCTCCTCCACATCTTCCAGTTACAGGGAAGTAAGATATGGGCATGACATGTCAATAGCCCCGAATGAAGGTTTGGTTGCCAAGGCAACTGGGTCAAAGTGTGCTAGCTGGGACCAAATGTCTTGGGGCAAATGCTGATCTCAGTATGGAGCCATGAACACTTGCATCCCACGACCTGTAAACTTTATTGATGTACGTAGAAGGATGTTTGGAAGTTACGACTCTTCTTGTGCTGTGTTTGAATCTTGTATATAAACTTTATTACGACTTCGAAGCAGTCCTTCCTAACTGGCGGTTCCGTCAGAACAACCACAGGGTCCCTATTTGACAGTTCCTATTTTTCTCTTGGTTCTCTGTTTTATTTAAAAGGTGTCTCCTCACCTGGCAACAAACAGGTGGTATAGAAGTCCATTCTTACCACAGGTTTAAAAGGCACATTCGCAGAGGAGAAAGCTGTTGAGGGCTACCAATAGGGTTGCCACCTGTCCCTAGAAAAAAGGGATTACACCCCTTTCTTGGGCAAAAGTGTCCCCTTTCCTGTTTGGCCTTCAAACAGGGCGCCTTCTTACCTGTATTGAATCTCAGCCAGCCCACAATGGCGGTTGCTTTGCTGTTGGTGCGGCTGATGAGGAGCTTGGCACAAGTAACAGCAGAGAAAGGAGTGACCTCATCTTCCCTCGCCTCTCCTTCCTTCCCTCTCACTTGTGCTGCTCCTCAGCTGCAGCCGCAGGTCTAACGTGGTGCAGGTCCACTGCTGCTTGGCCCCCTCTGCCACCCTGACCTGACCTGACTTGCCCTTCCTTCCTTCCTTCCTTCCTTCCTTCCTTCCTTCCTTCCTTCCTTCCTTCCTCCTCCCTCCTACTCCCTCTTCCTCTGCACTCGTGTGTGATGGCCTGGGACTCCGATTCAGAGGATGAACCGGAGGAATCCCAGCCTGCACAGGAGTCCCCGCCTCCAGGGCCGGCTGAACTAGGGCAGGGCCTTGATTCTGAGGAGCCTGCACCTGTGCCGGATCCTCAGGAGCAGGCACCAGGTGAATCCATTATGGCTTCAGAGGTAGTTGAGGACTCAGTGCCTACAGGTGAGTCTCCCCCTGGGTCCAGTAACCCTTCAGCCTCTCCTGAACTGCAGAGGCTTAGGGCAGAGAGGCGAAGGGAACTGGTTTCTCCCAGGAGGAGTGCTCGCCTTAAGGCCAGGAGAGGCGGGGCTCCTGGGGGCCGGGACCGCCCCTGGCCTCAGAGAAGATAAAGGCCAGTCAGCCTGGTCCCAGGTTGTGGGAGCAATGTCGTTATTGAAGAGCTGTTTCGGCCAGCACCCAGTCCTGTTTCTCCAGCGTTCCTGTTCCCCGCCCGGCTCCCTGTATCGGACCTTCCAGCGTTCCTGTTCCCCGCCCGGCTTCCTGCTTCTGATCTTCGAGTGTTCCTGTCCCCGCCCGGCTCCCTGCTTCGGACCTCGCCTCGCACCTTGTGAACTATTACCAGGCTAGTGACTCAGGACTGAACTTAGACTACGGTAATAGTAACCTTCCCCCCGGGACCAGCACATCGTGTCTCTTCCAACACCAGAATGTGTGTGAGGCTGGAGCTGCGGCTCAAGTTGTCCATGGGAACTGGTCGACTATATAATAATAATAATAGTAATTTATTTATACCCTGCCCATCTGACTGGGCTTCCCCAGCCACTCTGGGCGGCTTCCAACAAAGTATTAAAATACAGTGGTCTGTTAAACATTAATAGCTTCCCTAAACAGGGCTGCCTTCAGATGTCTTCTAAAAGTCTGGTAGTTGTTTTTCTCTTTGACATCTGGCGGGAGGGCATTCCTCAGGGCGGGCGCCACCACCGAGAAGGCCCTCTGCCTGGTTCCCTGTAACTTGGCTTCTCGCAGGGAGGGAACCGCCAGAAGGCCCTCGGAGCTGGACCTCAGTGTCCGGGCAGAACGATGGGGGTGGAGACGCTCCTTCAGGTATACTGGGCTGAGGCCGTTTAGGGCTTTCAAGGTCAGCACCAACACTTTGAATTGTGCTTGGAAACGACTATGTGACTGGGTGTGTGTCTGAGGGAGGCAGGTAGCTAACGGTGGGGAACCCTACTCCACAAGGAGGGGATTGGGTGTCATGAGACTGCATGTGTCCCTCACCCCCAACCTGACCCATATTTTGCCTGACCAAAGCTGGCAACCTGAGCTACCAGCCAGGTTGGCTCTGTCCTGCCTCCACAGTCGGAAGCAGCCATGCTTCTGAATCCTAGTTGCTGGAAACCCCAGGAGGGGAGAGGTCTCTTGTGGTCGAATCCTGCTTGCCAGAATGGGGGCAACTAGTTGGCCCCTGTGAGAACAGGGCACTGGACTAGATGGGCAGGCTTTTCTTATACTCCCATAACCAGCATGTGGTGCTGGGAGCTGAAATTCAGGCTGCAGCTCAGCACAGCTTCTGCTCACTGCGGGAATTCAGAACAGCAGACCTCCATGACCTTCAGCTGCCCACCTGTAAAATGGGAATGTTTCGTGCGTGCATTTGAACTATTAACCTGCCTGGTCTCGGAGGATTTGTCGGCGTTGTTAACAAACATTTTAAGCATGTGCTTATAGGAGCTTTTTTGAAAAAACAACAACCATTGAATAAAACGGGTTAAAGATGCAGCGAGCTAGAATTACTCCTTGTTAGTAGGCTGCAGTGCAAGGAGAAAGGTTACGTATTGATTCTCAGAGGGGGAAATGCTCAGGGTCAGGTGTCAGTCTGTCTCCAGGGGAAGAGAATTCCATATTGATGAGAGGGACTCCGGATTGCATGGACACTGATGTCTTCTTACATGTTCCGCTCTTTCCCAAGTGGTGCAAAATTCCTGGCGAAGAAATTGCCTGGGTTGTTTTCCTTTGAAAAGGGGGCTTATTGGAGACAAATGTGATTATTAGCATTAGTATTATTGTTGTTGTTGTTTAGTCATTTAGTCGTGTCCGCCTCTTCGTGACCCCCTGGACCAGAGCACGCCAGGCACTCCTGTCTTCCACTGCCTCCCGCAGTTTGGTCAAACTCATGCTGGTAGCTTCGAGAACACTGTCCAGCCATCTCGTCCTCTGTCGTCCCCTTCTCCTTGTGCCCTCCATCTTCCCCAATATCAGGGTCTTTTCCAGGGAGTCTTCTCTTCTCATGAGGTGGCCAAAGTCTTGGAGCCTCAGCTTCAGGATCTGTCCTTCCAGTGAGCACTCAGGGCTGATTTCCTTCAGAATGGAGAGGTTGGATCTTCTTGCAGTCCATGGGACTCTCAAGAGTCTCCTCCAGCACCAGAATTCAAAAGCATCAATTCTTCGGCGATCAGCCTACTTTATGGTCCAGCTCTCACTTCCACACATCACTACTGGGAAAACCACAGCTTTAACTATACGGACCTTATTAGTATTATTAGTATTATTATAAAGCAGAACTGGGGACCTGACCAAAATACCCAGGGAGATCTTGATATGCAGAATGAGAAAAAGGAGGCACCCAAAACATGCAATAATAGGCGACTTCAATTACTCTCACATACACTTGGGTGCATGTGTGTTCCAGTCATGAGAAAGAGGTAAAATTGAGACTGCTGCATTGCAGAGGGTTGGTCTAGATCAGTGTTTCCCAACCGGTGTTCCGCGGCACACTAGTGTGCCGCGAGACGTTGCCTGGTGTGCCGTGGGAGGGAGGCGGTCGAGTCGGGCGACGAGAGGCGGGGCAGCGGCGGCGAGGAGAGGCCGCCCAGCGCGGGGCTCTCGCCGTCTGCCTGCCTGGCTGCCTGCGTGGCGCTGACGTCACGGGACTGTAACGTGCCCCACATAGGCCATGCCCACATAGGACCATGCCCCGATGCCGGGCGGCAGCACTGCCGCTGCTTGCGGAGAGGTCCGCGAAGCCTGGGCGCGCTGATCTCGGCGCGCCCAGGCTTCGGCATGCTGGCAACTCTCCGCAAGCAGCGGCAGCTTGCTGCTTGCGGAGAGGTCCGCGAAGCCTGGGCGGACAGCTTTTGAAGGCAGGGGGGGGAGCAAAGACTTTCGCCCCCCGCCAGCCTTCAGAAGAGGTCGGGGGACAGACTGTCCCCGGACCTGGTCTGAAGGCGGTTTCCCTAGGAACGCATTAATTGATTTTCAATGCATTCCTATGGGAAACCGTGCATCGCAAGATGAAAAACTCGCAAGACGAAGAGACCTGCGGAACGAATTAATTTCGTCTTGCGAGGCACCACTGTAGTCAATATAGGCACAGAGTTAATTTTTTAAACATTTTCTAATGGTGGTGTGCCTCGAGATTTTTTTCATGAAACAAGTGTGCCTTTGCCCAAAAAAGGTTGGGAAACACTGGTCTAGATGACCCTCAAGGTCCCTTCCATCTCTGCAATTCAATTATTCTATGATTCGCCTTTCTTTCCATGTTGATGCTAGTTCAAGATTCAGAAAGATGGTGAAAAATTT